GGGTCGCACTGGGATAATTTAAATGAACGCCCTGAGGGGGCAGACCGCCGCCCCACCAGGGAGCGGCGGCCGCTCCGCGCTCGCGAATAGGAGATGTTCTGGTGCTGGTGCTGGTGCTTTGCTTGGAGGCTTCGTGGGGCTCTTTGGAGACGACATTTGGCTCCTCAGCGAGCTCTCTGTCGTATGACCCTGAGCCCAGGACGGCCCCAGAGAGGCTGGAGGAAAGGAAAGTAGCGAGCTCTGTGTCGTATGACCCTGAGGCCCGGACGGCCGCAGAGAGGCTGGAGGAACTGAAAAAAAACCGTCGGGTTCGTCCAAGAATGCGCGCCGAGGAGTGTCTTTCACATGACCCTGAGGCTAGGACGGGTACAGAGAAGATTGAGAAGCTCAACAAAAACTATCGGATTCGTCCCAGAGGGACCTCTGAAGGGGCCCAAGAAGGAGCCGGAATGGATCAAGTGCGGCGACTTGGGGTGAACGATGAAAACAGGAAGGGGAAAAAACCAGTCCGGGTTTGTTTGCGGCTCCTGGAAGAGCCGCTGGAGGCTCTGAGGGGGCGCCCCAGATGGGCGAAATACGGTGCCAAGAAGGCGGGGCCAGACGGCCCAAGATGAGTCCGAGAGGCTGTCAGGATGGTCGTGCAGAGCATGCCCAGGTGCTAAGATGGCCGGAAGAGCCAGCGGCGATGCACGGGAGCTCCGAGAGAGGCGCAAGGAGAAGTGCGAGAAGGCCAGAATCATCAACATCTTGTGTGTTTTACGATGTTTTTTGCTTGTTGGGGTGTTCTGGTGTATGTGGCTCGAAAAAAGCGGGAACGGCATCTGAAGCGGCTCAACGGGGCCTGAAGGAGGGTGAAAATGAGACCAAGAGGGCTTCAGGAGGCCCGAAAAGCCGGCCCAGTGGGCTCCTGAAGAGGTCTTTGAGAGCGCATGGCGGCGCCTGGAAGGCTAGCAAGTGACAGTGGGGTCGTCTTGGGACGGAAATGGCGGCCAGAAGGCGCCCCAGCCGCAGCCGGGGCCCCCGGGCTGGCGCAATGAGCGAGGCGCGAGGAGGACCCTAGGAGGGGTTGCGAGGGCTCAGAGGCAGGGGTAGGTATGAAAAGCGCGTAGGTATGAAAAGCGGGGTAGGTATGAAAGCGGGCGGATCGCTTCGCTCATTCCGCCGGCCTATATTTCAGGAGGGAAAGGAACACACAGACACACTGAATCGTCGACTCCCAGGAAAATATTAGAAATATGGGAAGTGGGGGGAAGAAGACGAACACCCATAAAATATACGAAATTATCCAGGCGAAGGACCCAACCATAAGCAATTGTTCGCAACGCGTTGTGGGTGCCGCTTTCGGTGGGGCTCCCTATGGGGCCACGAAACGCTGCCTTGGGTGGGGGAACCGCATGCGAACTGCGCCATTAGGGTGGGCCTTCGGTGGAGCTCCCTATGGGGCCACGAAGCGCTGCCCTGGGTGGGGGAACCGCATGCGAACTGCGCCACTGGGGCCTTCGGTGGAGCTCCCTATGGGGCCACGAAGCGCTGCCCTGGGTGGGGGAACCGCATGCGAACTGCGGCACTGGGGCCTTCGGTGGAGCTCCCCATGGGGCCACGAAGCGCTGCCCTGGGTGGGGGAACCGCATGCGAACTGCGCCATTGGGGCCTTCGGTGGAACTCCCTATGGGGCCACGAAGCGCTGCCCTGGGTGGGGGAACCGCATGCGAACTGCGGCACTGGGGCCTTCGGTGGAGCTCCCTATGGGGCCACGAAACGCTGCCCTGGGTGGGGGAACCGCATGCGAACTGCGCCACTGGGGCCTTCGGTGGAGCTCCCTATGGGGCCACGAAGCGCTGCCCTGGGTGGGGGGACCGCATGCGAGAGCAGCCACTGGGGCCTTCGGTGGAGCTCCCTATGGGGCCACGAAGCGCTGCCCTGGGTGGGGGAACCGCATGCGTGAGCAGCCACTGGGGCCTTCGGTGGAGCTCCCCTTCCCGCCGCATCGGCGCTCCCTATGGGGCCACGAAGCGCTGCCCTGGGTGGGGGAACCGCATGCGAACACCCCCACTGGGGCCTTCGGTGGAGCTCCCTATGGGGCCACGAAACGCTGCCCTGGGTGGGGGAACCGCATGCGAACACCCCCACTGGGGCCTTCGGTGGAGCTCCCTATGGGGCCACGAAACGCTGCCCTGGGTGGGGGAACCGCATGCGAACACCCCCACTGGGGCCTTCGGTGGAGCTCCCTATGGGGCCACGAAACGCTGCCCTGGGTGGGGGAACCGCATGCGAACACCCCCACTGGGGCCTTCGGTGGAGCTCCCTATGGGGCCACGAAACGCTGCCCTGGGTGGGGGAACCGCATGCGCCACTGGGGGGTGGGGGAACCCTGCTTCGGTGGAGCTCCCTATGGGGCCACGAACGCTGCCCTGGGTGGGGGAACCGCATGCGAGAGCAGCCACTGGGGCCTTCGGTGGAGCTCCCTATGGGGCCACGAAACGCTGCCCTGGGTGGGGGAACCGCATGCGAGAGCAGCCACTGGGGCCTTCGGTGGAGCTCCCTATGGGGCCACGAAACGCTGCCCTGGGTGGGGGAACCGCATGCGAGAGCAGCCACTGTGCCTTCGGTGGAGCTCCCTATGGGGCCACGAAACGCTGCCCTGGGCGGGGGAACCGCATGCGAGAGCAACCACTGGGGCCTTCGGTGGAGCTCCCTATGGGGCTACGAAGCGTGTGAGAGGTGTGCCCAGAGCAGAGGCAAGGAGGGGGAGGAGGGAGGAGGGGGAGGAGGGGGAGGAGGAGGAAAGAGGACGATGGGACGCGGGGCGCTGTCTCTTCAAAACGGGGACCCAACACCACAGGATGGTTGGGAGATATGGGGGATCCTCTTATTTGTATCTTTTTATTTGTGTTTCCCAGGGCCCCTTCACACATTGCCTCGCCGCTGTCGTTTGTCGGGGTGTTGTTGTCAAGGCGGTGCCGTTGGGTGGCTGCCATTCTTCGGGGGCGGCGGGTGGGGGGTGAGAGGCTTCACACGGATGTTGGTTGAGCTTTCGCGGTTGGCCTTTCGGGGGTTCTGGGAGGCAGTCTTGAGGCCTCTTGGGGGCCGTGTTGGGGCCTCTCGGGAGGGCCTCTTGGAGCCTTTTGGGGGGGCTCTTGGGGGCTCCTTGGGGCCTCCTGGGCACCTCTTGTGGCCGAAGACTCGAGATGTCCGTTCGGGTTCCCCGTCTGGCCCCCTCTTGCGGCCCTTGGAGGCCTCTTGTGTCGTCTTGGGGCCCTCTTGGCCCTCTTGGGCCTCTCTTGCAGGCCTCTTGGGCCGTTTTGGAATTGGGGCGATATTTGGGGCCTCTTGGGCCGTCTTGGAGCGTCGGGAAGCCGAACAGATGAGAACGCCTACGCCCTTCAACAACTGTAGGGAAATCGATGGTTTGTGCTTCCTGGGGCCCTCTTGAGACGCTTCTTCGAGGCCTCTTTGGGCGTCTGGGGAGCCTCTTGGGACCGAGGGCTCGAAATGTCAGTTCGGGTTCCCCGTCTGGCCCCGTCTTGGGACCGTCCTGGGGATATCTTGGGCCGTCTTGGAGGCCTCTTGGACCGTCTTGGGGCCCTCATGGGCCTTCTTGGGGCTCTCTCGGAGGCCTCTTGGGCCGTCTTGGGGCGATCTGTGGGGCCTTTTGGTCCGTCTTTTTACCCGTCGGGAAGCCGAACTAATGAGAACGCCTACGCCCTTCAAGCGCCGAAGGGACATCTATGGCTTTTGCCTCCTGGAGCCCTCTTGAGACGCTTCTCCGAGGCCTGTTTTTGGGCGTCTTGGGTGCCTCTTGGAGGCCGAGGGCTCGAAGCATTCGTTCGGGTTCCCCGCCGCTGAGGCCTTCGCAAGAGCCTTCTTATTGTGCAAGATGTCTCAGGCCAGACCAGTGGGGACACCCGCGGTTGTCCTCTTCTCTCACATCTCTGTTCGCGACCCTCAAGGCGCACGCGTCTCTGTGGAGTGTCCTGCGGTCAAGTGCCCTGTGCAGGCGCCATTCCATAGGGGGTGGGTATATGCTGACTGGCTGCCTTGCTCGTCATCCCTCTCACACTTATGGGGCCACGAAACGCTGCACTGGGGTGAGAGACGCATGCGAACACCGCCAGTGCGTCCTTCGGTGGAGCTCCCCACGGGGCCACGGAGCGCTGTACTCGGCGGGTGAGAGGCGCACGCGAGAACCGCCACTGGGGCTCTCGGTGAAACTCCATACGGGGCCGCGAGGCGCTGTGCTCGGCGGGGGAGACGCACGCGAACACCGCCACTGGGGCCTTGAGTGGAGCTCCCTGCGGGGCCACGGAACGCTGTATTGTATGGGGGAAGCGCAAGCGAACCCTGCCACTGGGGCCTTTGGTGAGGCTCCGGATGCGAACACCGCCAGTGGGGCTCTCGGTGGAGCCCCCTATGGGGCTACGAAATTCTGTGCTGCGTCGGTGAACCTCGCGCGAACGCCGCCAGTGGTGCCTTCAGTGGAGCCCTTTTATGGGGCCGCGAAGCGTTGTATCGTGCGGGGAAGACGCATGCGAACGCCACCACTGGTGCCTTCGGTGGACGTCCTTATGGGGCCACGAAGCGTTGTGCTGGGTGGGGGAGACGCATGCGGACGCCGCCACTGAGGCCTTCGGTGGAACTCCTTATGGGGCCGTCTGGCCTCGTCTTGGGGCCGTCCTGGGGATATCTTGGGCCGTCTTGGAGGCCTCTTGGGCCGTATTGGGGCCCTCTTGGGCCCTCTTGGGCCTCTTTTGGAGGCCTCCTCGGCCGTCTTGGGTCGATATGTGGGGCCTCGTGGGCCGTCTTGGAGCGTCGGGAAGCCGAACAGATGAGAACGCCAACATTTCTCAAAAACGGGGAATCTATGGTTTTTGCGTCCTGAGCCCTCCTGGGACGTTTCTTCGAGGCCTTTCTGGGCGTTTTGGGAGCGTTTGCGGCCGTGTGGAGGCTATCTTGGGTGTCTTGCATCGGTCGGTCGGCGACTCGGAACCCTTTTGGACCGTCATGGGGACACTTGGGGCCCGCTAGGAACGCTCGGGGGCGCCTGATAGCCACGCCCAGGAGGAACACCCATCTCCGAGTCCGACTGGCCGGCGTATTTTTCGTCCGGGGACACCCAGGGGCCGCCCCGCGCGCGCGAACTAGAAATATTGTTAGCCAGTTGCTGAAGACCTTGGCACGCCCGTGGCCCGTTGGGCCGGCGATTTTCTTTTGTTGTTCTCTCTCTCTCTCTCTCTATCTGGTTTGTGCGCCACGTTTACGCCAAGTTTCTTTTAATGGCTGTCGAGTGGCAGACGCAAGCCCTGCGCCCCCTCTCCTGCTTCTGCGTCCTTTTGGACGTTCTCACCCTCCTCTGCTTCCCTTCCTTTGTCCATGCTTGCAATGCGCTGCTTATCCGGGATGTGACGTGTTTTGGTGCACATTCTCAAGCAAAACAGTTCGCTCTGCGCGCCCATCATCTGGCAGAGAACATTCAGCCCGCCGCTGTTGCAACACTTCTCTTCGATATCTTCCTCTTCTTTGCGCTCTTCGGCAGCACGGCAGCGCGGCACCGTGCGCCGCGTCTTCTGTTAGTTGCTGGCGTGGTCAGCGTCCGCAAGCCCATCATGAAGCTCGCGTGTAACTCCCTGGCACCCTCCGCTGTATGCCTCGCCCTTTTTCTCCCTGTGCCCCTGGCAAGTGATGTCCTCAAGAGGAGTATCATGGGTACTATCAATCTGTCTGCCTCTTTCAGAGGCCAGCGTGGTCTGCCACTGCGTTCTTCACGCATCCCAGTAATTCCGGCCGTTTCGTGCCGCAGCAGAGTAAGAGTGCTTTGCGGCGAACCACAGGCATGATGCATCGTGCACCAGCTTTGCTTCTTCCGCAGGGCACGTCGAGACCGCGCGAGCCAGGTGATCTAGAGGAAGAGGAAAAGGGCCAGGAGAAGGAGGAGAAGGTGGAGGAGGATGAGGATAACGGTCTCGATGAAGAGGACTGGCCCGTTGCTGTAGCCGTCCATCCATTATATGTGGATGTTCTGTTCTCTTGGTCCACCTTCGACCATCATCGCTTTCGATTCTAGTTTCTTCGAGACAGGCGCCCAGGACCACCATCAGGTTACCGTCACGTAGGAGTGGGCTGACGAGCAGATCGACATCAGCGATGTGGTATGCCAGAACAAGGTGGCCCCCAGCGTGCACTGGACAAGCAAAACAGCGTAGATCGAAGCAATGTGCAACTCATGGCAACATCCGCCATCGTCCTCGTAGTTCTCCTTCTTTGTCCTTCATCTTTCCTCTTTCCAGCAGCCTCGCTGGCACTCGAAACCTTCAAAAACACCCGAAAACGTCAGACAATCAGAACAATCTCCCGAAGACATGAAACGCAGTGGCGTATTTTGGAGCCACCGAGAGCTGTCTGATCAGAATGGAATGCTATACAAGACGTATGATAATCCCGCGGCTTCCCTTCCGTCTCCCTACTTTCTTCTTTTAGGACGCAACTTCTTGGAGGTTAAATTCAGCATCGGAGCTCGTATACTAGCGGTCGAAACGGGCCAGCTCTGGCATACGGTCGGACCGAGGTGTAAGATCGAAGTCGGTTCGGGGATGTTCTTCGTGCTTGTTGGATGTTCCTGTGCATATTGGGGGATGGTACCCTCGAGTAATCTTATGGTTTGGGGTGTTTTGGCCGGCGGAGGGTATCATGATCTTGAATGATATTCTTCTCTCCTACGTTCGATTGTAGTCTCGCTTAATCCCACTTGATCCCGTTGAATCCGGCTGAATCGTGCTGTCTCTTGGGTCGGCCTAATTTGGGTGTGACCGCTGAATCGGGCGTAGTAGCCCTTACTCGTTCTCACGACGGCCTCCCAGGAGTTGCCTCCCAACTTCTTCTCATCCCTCCTCCGTCCTCTCACCTCCCTCCTCCTACTCTTTCTCCTCCTCTTCCTCCTCCCCCCCTTCTCCCTCCGCCTGTTTGCGCTGCGCAGTCCACAGCTTCCTTAGCTGTTGGGCACGCCAGGCGGGAGACACGACGGCCCCCCTGAGGCGGGGATGGACTTCTTGCCACCGCCTGAGGGATCGATCTTCGGGGACCTCGGCAGAATGTGGATGTTCATATTTTCCGGCCTTCCTGGGGCCAAAGCATACCCGTATCCACCGCCTGCTGGGGTTCCAGGGCTTCGATTCCACAGACGGCTGATATAGATATATCCCCGCCTTTCACCCCATCAGTGGGAAACGAGCCCGCAGACCTTGCAGTCACTGCTCGGGAGCGTTGCCTCGACGAGAGTGCGCACCACTCCTGGGGCCATCCTCGCGTCCCCGAGGGGGCTGGTGCGTCCCCAGGATTTGACCGTGGGCCTCTCCTGGGGTCCACGGGGAACGAAGTGCGCGATGGGGTGCGTCAAGTTTCTGCTCCCTCGATGCGTCTCAAGGGCTGACTGGGCGCGAGGGATGTGCCGAATCCAGGTTCTCTTCAGCCGTTTTGATCGCCGGCTAAGGGCAGCCAGGTGGCCGATGGGCCACGCTGTGCTTGTTGGGCGTGCCGACTCGAATCGTCTCTCAGCCGACTTGAGGAGCCAGCTGAGGGCCTTCAGACGTCCATATATGTTACGACATGCGCTTTGATGACGATGATGATGATGATGATGATGATGATGATGATGATGATGATGATGATGCTGATGATGATGATGATGATGCTGATGACGATGATGATGATGACGATGATGATGGCGATGGTGATGGTGATGGTGATGGTGATCGTGATGGTGATGGTGATGATGATGATGCTGATAATGATGATGATGATGATGATGATGATGATGATGATGATGATGATGATGATGATGATCATTCTAATGGGGATGAGTATGATGATGCTGATGCTGATGCTGATGATGCTGATACTGCTGGTGCTGATGATGGTGGTGGTGGTGATGAAGATGGTGCGGATGAGGATGGTCATGCGGATGATACTGAGATTGATGATGCTGATGCTGATGCTGATGCTGATGCTGCTGCTGATGATGATGCTGATGCTGATGAGGATGACGATGATGTTGATGATGATGGCGATGCTGATGCTGATGGTCATGATGTTGATGCTGCTGCTGATGATGATGATTAGTTTGATGATGATGGTGATGATGCTGATGCTGCTGCTGATGATGCTGATGCTGATGTGACTGATGATGATGCTGCTGATGCTGATGAGGATGACGATGATGTTGATGATGATGGCGATGCTGATGCTGATGGTCATGATGCTGATGCTGCTGCTGATGATGCTGAATAGTATGATGCTGATGCTGATGTTGCTGCTACGGCGGCTCCCGCCTCTATGGCGCTCATCATTACCATCATCGCCACCACCACCACCATCACCATCACCACCACCATCACCACCACCATGACCATCACCATGACCATCACAATAGCCACCACCACCACCATCACCATCACCATTACCATGTCCATCATCATCCCGGATTGATGCTCCCCTCAGCCGTCCCGAGCGCCTCTGGAAGTACATTGGAGCACAGATTGCGTGATGGGGTGTGCCGAGTTTTAGCAGTCTGTGGGCTTGCTGAGGGCCTCTGGAAGTCCATGTGCCACGGAGTCCCTGAGGGGTGTGCCGAGTCGTATCCGGCTGCCTACGGTAAGTCCCGCCACCGTGCTTGGGTTGTGGGTGTGACGCCCATTGGATGTTCGTGGGGATCTCGTGGGAGGCCTTTCGGGGGCCTCTTGGAGGCAGCTTTGAGGCCTCTCGGAGGGGCTGGAGCCTCTTGGGGCCTCTCGGAAGGCTAGGATTTTCGGTTCGTGCTCCCTCTCTTAGGCCCCTTTTGGGGCTGTCTTGGGGCCCTCTTTGACCTTCTTAGGTGCCTCTTGGGCCGTCTTTGGGCGCTCGTAGGCCGTCTTGGGGCCCTCTTGCAGGCCTCTTTTGCCGTTTTGGGGTTGTCTTGGTTGCTTCTCGGGCTGTCTTGGATCGTCGGAGAGCCGGAAAGGCGAGAACGCCCAAGTCCGTACAACACCTAAGGAACAGCCGTACTTGTTGCATCTCGGAGCCCTCTTGGGGCCCTCTTGGAGGCCTCTTGGAGGCCTCCTGGGGCGTCTTGGAGGCCTCTTGGGCCATCTCGGGCGTCTTCGAGCGATCTTTCGGCGGCTCGAGGCCCTCCTGGATCGTCTTCGGGGCCCCTTTGGGCCGGCATGGAAGCCTTGGCGTGCCCCAGGGTGGCGCCATGGCCGCCCAGGGACCCCCTGGGAGTCGGGGTGGTGCAGTCGGGGAATCGTGACTGGGGGGGGGGGTCCCTCAGAAGACAACATAAACCTTGGCAGGCAGCCCTTGACATTGTTCCACGCCTCAAATTGCCGCAGGCACGGTGGCGGATATACGCTCTCTGACCGTCGCCGTACGAATCCAGGGTCGCGAGTAGGCCTCTCTCGGGCCGTCTTCGAGACCTCTTGGGCCGTCTTTGGGCCTCTTTAGTTGTCTTTGGGGCCCTCGAGGCTGTCTTGGGAGGTTCTTGGGGCTGTATTGGGGCGCTCTGTGGGACACGTTGCGCTGTCTTGGAGCCCTCTTTGGCTGTCTGGAGTCGCTCGTGGGACGCTCTGGGGGCGTTTTTGGGTCCTCTTGGGCTTTCTTGGACGCCTCTTGAGCCGTCTTGGGCCCTCCCTGAGTCCTCCTGATGGCCGTGGACAAGAAGCCTCGCAGAGGCCTCTTGGAGTCTCTCGGGATGCCTTTTGGGAGCGTCCTCGAAGCTTCTTGGTGGACTCTTGGAGGTCTCTTGGAGGTCTCTTCGAGCCTTGTCAGGGTTAGGGGCATCTCAGGGCCTCTTGGAGCCTCTTGGGGGCCTCGGGGGCCATCTTGGGTGGAAGGGCTCGAAATGTCAGTTCGAGTTTCCCCTCGTGGGGCCCTCTTGGGGCCCTCTTGGGGGCCTCTTGGACCCTCTTGGGGATCTCGGGGGTCCTCGGGGGGGCGTCTTGGGTCGGCTCTCGGGGCCCCTCGGGCCGTCTTCGGTGCCACCAGATCCGAAGAGCAGACTGCTGCAGCCATGCAACCAGCCTCCGAGTTCGGCTTCCCGGGCTGGTCCCCGGTGGCGTCCCGAACGGCCCAAGGTGCGACCAAGGAGGGCTCCAGGACGGGCCCTGCCACCATCTTGGGCAACAACAAGTTGTGCATGCCGCGGCCGCTGATCACGAAGAACAGCAGCAGCACGACATAGTGGGTGCGGCAAGCTGCACCTGCAGGGTCACCATCTTGGGCAGGGCTGGACCTATTTGCGATTTCGTGGGCCGTTTTCGTTTCGACTTCGTTTTGCGTTAAAGGCGGACTGAAGACAACACGAGGGAAAGCGAAAACGAAGACGAAACCGCAAAACACCGTGTTGAGGTTCAGCCCTGCCTGTCACCATCTCGGGCACGCTCCTGAGGCCTGCAGGAAGTCACGCGCGGGCCTCCCCGAGCGCACCCGAGGGCGCACGGGAGCGCCTGCAGGCGCCTCCGGGGAGCGCCTGGGCCCCTCGGGGGGCACGCACGGAAGGCGAGGCCGAGACCTCGATGGGGATCTCCGGAGGCTTCTAAAAAGTCTGGGCGATGACGCTCGTGATCGCCCCCGCCCCTCCCCGCCCCCCCCCGATCACGTCACTCTGTTTTCCCCACATGTCTCAAGGAACCTTCCAGGGTGCCCAGTCCCAGAGAGTCTCGAGGGCTTCCCAGGAAGTCGTCGTCGTCGCTGTTTTGTCCGCGACAACGGAGGTGGAGGTGGAGCCCCCCCCCCCCGTCACGCCCGTTATCGCGGATCGACGGCACGGTGGGGGGTCAGACATAGGTATACAGACATTCCTATTCCGAAAGAGAGACAGAGATAGAGAGAGAGAGAGATTGAGAGAGAGAGAGAGAGAGATAGATAGAGATATAGTAAATACAA